TGTCCCCTCTTTTCTTTCAATGTCCTTCAAATTCTCTCACTATACATTTGCAAAGGGAAATAAATGAATCCTGCCCCTAAGTCATGTATTGAACAAGTGTTCTTTATTACAGCATAATGTAGTGGCTAGGTGTATATGTTCTGGAGAAAGACTGTGAGTTCAAATCCCAACTCTACCACTTATTAGAAAGGTGACCTTGGACTAGTTGTTTGCTCTCTATGCCTCAATTTTTTTCATCTTTAAATTGGTTTCATAATATTCTCTACCTTGAAGGGTTGGGAGGATATATGATCTAATACATTTAAATAATTTAGAATACTGCCTGCCATAAATAACTTAGAATACTGTGTGCCATATGATAAGTGCTCAATAAATATTAGCTAGTGCTATCAGCATCATCACCATTTCCATCAATATCATCATCTTTCAACACAAGATGAGGTCTTACCATTAACTGGTCTCTGAAGGAGGCAGTTTCCAGGAATAAAAACTTCCCTGAAACTTATTGTGGGGTTGACTCCCCATTTATTGTTCCTCTCTTCTTTATTCCCGGCTGCCAACTCCCAGCTCTATTTTTAAAAAAAAGATTTTATTTATTTTTAGAGAGGAAAAGGGAAGGAGAAAGAGAGGGAGAGAAACATCAATGTGGTTGCTTCTTGCATGCCCCCTACTGGGTACCTGGCCCGCAACCCAGACATGTGCCCTGACTGGGAATTGAACTGGCGATACTTTGGTTCACAGGCCAGCACTCAATTCACTGAGCCACAACAGCCAGGGCTCCCAGCTCTTTTCTCTCCTTCATAAATCATCATTTCTAAACTGTGGCAACCTGATTGAGGTGATGGACTTTTCCACCTTTCCACCTAAATTTTTGTTCACATGTGAAAACTTATGGTGCCACACACAAACCAAAAAGGAATAAGGAAATTTATTACTCACATATTGGGGTTTTCTAGGGGGGAACAGGCTAGGCTCCCAGCAGGTCTGAAAATGGCCTGAGCGAATAAGGAAGGGCGGCTGGCTTGGGGTGTTAGGGTGTTAGAGGGTGGAGCTGGGGTGAGGGTTCCCTTGTATCAGGGAGGACTTCCACTGTTTAATTCTGGATGCCAAAAGAGGGAGCACTTGGCTTTCTTATTAGCTTGCCCAGGGGTAGGGCAGAAAGGGAAGGGGCTAGAGAACTGTCAGCAGTCAAATGTCAAAAATGGAGCCAGACTCTTTATTACCCAAAATGAGGACTCCACAGCTTTCCAAAGCAGTAACACCTTTCCTTGTTGATAAAGGGAGTGCTCTCTGGACTATGGCTTTAACCACGATCCACCCCTGATCTCCCCTTCCCTGAGAAACCACAGGACAGAGCAATACTTCTCTTGCTTGATTACCCCCTACAAAAAAAATATTCAGGGATTTACATGTAAAAACATTTCCTGTTATTTAAATTTATTTCAAGACTTAAAGCAGGACTTCCAGACAAGATGGAAGCATAGGTAGATACATTATACCTCCTCGCACAACCAAAAGAAGGACAATAAATTTAAAAACAAAAAGTAACCAGAACTGCCAGAAAATTGAACTGTATAGAAGTCTGACAACTAAGGAGCTAAAGGAGAAACATTCATCCAGACTGGTAGGAGGGGCGGAGACGGGTAGCTGGGGCAGAGAGGACGTGTGGCAAGGCAGTGGCTGGAAGACCACGCAGGCCGGGAGGGGGCTGGTGGACTGGGTGGTCCCACGTTTGCATGTGCATAAACCAGGAGGAACAGCTGAGGAGCGAGACAGACCACTCAACCCAGGGTTCCAGTGCAGGAAAAGAAAGCCTCAAAGCCTCTGGAGATAAAAACCTGTGGAGGTTGCAGCAGCAAGAGAAACTCCCAGCCTCACAGGAGAGTCTGCTGGAGAGACCCACAGGACCCTAGAACGTACACAAACACACCCACCTGGGAATCAGCACCAGAAGGGCCCAATTTGCTTGTGGGAAGTGTGGGGAGTGACTGAAAGAGGGCGGAGAGCCAAGCACGCGGCATTTTTCCCTCTCTGACCCCTCCCTCACATTTGGCACTACAACAGAGCAACCTGGGTTGACCCTGCCCTGGCAAATACCTAAGGCTTTGCCCCTCCCAACATAACAGGCACGCTGAGACAAAGAAATGTGGCCTGGAATGAAACAACAGATCAAAGCTCCAAAAATAGAACTAAGGGATGAACCAATAGCCAACCTATCAGTTGCACAGTCCAAAACACCGGTAATTTGGATGCTCACTGAATTGGTTGAGTATGGTTGCAAAATGGAGGAAAAAGTGAAGGCTATGCAAAGTGAAATAAAGAAAAATATACAGGAAACCAACAGTAAAGGGAAGGAACCTTGGACTCGAATCAATGATTGGGAACAGAAAGAAGAAAGAGGTTGAAGAGATTCATTCAACCAGAGCAGAATGAAGAAACAAGAATTCAGAAAAATGAGGAGAGGCTTAGAGAACCTCTGGGACAACTTTAAACGTTCCAACATCCAAATCATGGGGGTGCCAGAAGCAGAAGAGGGAAGAACAAGAAATTGAAAACTTATTTGAAAAAATAATGAAAGAGAACTTCCCCAATCTGGTGAAGGAAATAGACTTCCAGGAGATCCAGGAAGCTCAGAGAGTCCCAAAGAAGTTGGACCCAGGGAAGTACACACCAAGGCACATTGTAATTAAGTTACCCAAGATTAAAGATAAGGAAAGAATCTTCAGAGCACAAAAGAAAAGGAGACAGTTACCTACAAAGGAGTTCCCAGAAAACTATCAGCCGATTTCTCCAAAGAAACCTTGCAGGCAAGAAGGGGCTGCCAAGAGGTATTCAAAGTCATGAAAGACAAGGACCTATATCTAAGATGATTCTATCCAGCAAAGCTGTCATTTACAATGGAAGGGCAGATAAAATTGCTTCCCAGATAACGTCAAGTTGAAGGACTTCATCATCACCAAGCCTTTATTATATGAAATGTTAAAGGGACTCATCTAAGAAAAAGAAGATCAAAACTGTGAACAGTAAAATGACGACAAACTTACAACTATCAACAACTGAACCTGAAAAAACAAAACAAAAACAAAAACAAACTAAGCAAACAACTAGAACAGGAACAGAATCATAGAAATGGAGATCAGAGGGAAGGGTGAGGGGGAAGAATGAGAGAAAATGTACAGGGAATAAGCAGCATAAACGTAGGTACAAAAGAGGCAGTGGGAGGTTAAGAATAGTATAGGAAATGGAGAAGCCAAAGAACTTCCATGCATGACCCATGAACATGACTAAGTCGGGGAAGGGGAGTGCTGAGGGGAGGGGTGGTGCAGGGCAGAGGGGAATAAAGGGGAGGAAAAAAATGGGACAACTGTAATAGCATAATCAATAAAATATATATTTAAAGAAGACTTAAAGCTATATATATTAACAGTGTCTTTATGAATTGCATTCACAGCTTTTCCTTATCCCTTGTAATCCACAATAATTATATGAAGCTATAACATCAGAGATGCTGTTATACTACTCTATAGCCATCATTAAAACTCTTAATTGCACACAATTCCAAAGTGGGGCTACGACATGGGTAACACAAGAATATGAATAGCTTAAAAAGTAATGCATATATTTTGACTTTAGAATACATTATGTAGTGTATCTTTTATTACCCTTGGTAATGTTGTTTAATATTATTGAAACATATATCAACTGAGGGTAAGAGAAAACCTCCAAACAGGTAGTGAAGAGAAAAGTAATCAGCACTTAACTGAGAATAGAGTATTAGGACTCCTCTACCAATTCAGCAAGGCGTAGATAGATGTGCGTTTGAGCTGCATGCCTACATATTGACTTGATCCATCAGTTTCTATATTGGGTTTCTGAAGAGATTACTACAGAGACTAATAAAAGGGTTCTGTCACTTTGTATCACATATAATTTTGTTTTATAGTTTTTAACCGATAATCTCTGTTTTGAATAATTTTATCTCAAAATGCACTGTATTTATCATGGAAAAATTAATCTTGCTGCTTATTCATAAATGGTATCTTTTCATTTTTATTCATTTCATTATTCATTGCCTTATTTTAGTAAAGATTTAATAAGATTGGTTTCACAGTTATTGTGAAATAAAGCAAGGTAATGTGAATTACAAATGTGTGAAAAAGAAAAATAAAAAACAATGCTAAGGTATTATAGAGAATCTAGCATATGGTTATTACAGAATGGTACTCAGAAAATTACTATAGATGGTCCAAAATTTTGGGTTTAAGCTTCCTTGTAGCCACTGTGAAAAGGGAAACACAAACAAATTATGTGTGTGGATGTGGCCACAATTTGTGCTTTTGATCAGTATGAATTAGTCAATATTATCAATGTGAGTTCTAATAAGAAGCAAAGAAACACCATTGTTTGATTGCTTTTTTCCAGATTTATCATCAATAAATTATTGATACCCATGAGACTTTGAAATAAAAATAGTGTATGGATACTCCTTCCCCTGACCTCTTCTCTGAATTCCTAGCTGTCTGCATTACGACTTGGATTCAATGATCTAGTAGCTATTGTGAATCTTTTCCTTCAGATAAAATGTTTTATTTTATTTGTCACAGCTAATAAATGGTTTATTGACTATTGCGTGCACTCATTGGTCATGTATTGAAGACTTACCCACTTGCAGAGACACTGCCAACACAACATGTTTTAGAGAAAGGTCTTTAAAGACCATCCTGCAAAATAAAATTAACAATTCATTCATGAGTAGCAGGTTTGAGATTTAAGGAGGATCTTTGAGACACTTACTTAAACAGACTGCACTTCAGTTCATTCAGCAAATATCGAAGGAGTGCCAGGCCCAGGTCCTATGCTGGTGCTGGGTAGACAAGGGTGAGTGTGTTGAGTTCCATGTTCCCTAAGAGCCTGGGACCTAAGAAGCGGGTTGTTTCACTAAGTGTGGTGTTCCCATGAGGAAACCTGTTCCAATAAGAATTTGGCTTTTTTTCTCACAGGATGGTACGATAGGCTTTTCATTAACTTTGTGCTAAGAAAACATATTTTCTTCTTTGTGCTGCAAACCCCTTTCCCCGCTATGTTGACAGTAACACTTTCATGGGTTTCATTTTGGACTGACAGACGAGCTGTTCCTGTCAGAGTTTCCCTGGGTAAGTCTTTCCACAGCTTTGTGAAATGTTAATATGGGCGAAAGGTAGAGGAAGGTCAATGGAAATGGGTGATAAGCGGAGAGAAAAACAGTGAAGTAGGGGCAGTTTGAGATGTGCACTCAAGCCACAATGTTTATCTTGAGAGCCTCAAGGGCTGACTGTAACGGGACTCTTTCCTTGGCAGCCCAGAAAGTAGGTTTGAAAGCTACAGACTGACAAATGGCTGGATGATAGTAAGGAGAGACTGTGAAATTATGAAGCATAAACAGTGTCACTTTACAAATCTATCTCTTTTCCCTTTCTGGAACACCTTCCTATCCCTTGCCCAAGTCCATTTCACTTGCCTGACAAACCTTTACATCATAGGGTAAATGAACTTCAAACTAATTCTCACGATACTTTTGGTATTTTAATAAATTACTTCTTGGGAGAGGAAGCTTGCATTTGGAAACACTACTGCTAGTTACAAGCTAGGGCTTGATTTAAATGCTAAAATCGGAATGAACCACAGTTAAATTTTAGGTATTGTGGCATTTTCGTTGGCAGGAGATTTCAAGTGGAGAGACATTGTCAGCCTCATTAAGTTCCCACCCCAGTGTTATTATCTATTCCGTCTGCCATGCCATACGCCACTGTCACACATACTACTTTGCAGGAACCAATACAGGCTCTCACTCAGCTGCAATGGAGCCCTTGCAAAGTGGAAGGTGCCAAGCTAAGCACTTAGATAACATGTTACTTAATGAGAACCCGAGAGTCAATCCCACTTGCCTTCTTGGCTGGTTCAGGGCAGAACTCCTTTATTTTGACCGATATTGCTTTTTCACCTCTAATGCTCTATCTAGACAGAAGATTGTTATAAGTGGTTCACAATCATTGTAATTAACACACAGTGCATTCCAGAGAGGGTGGTTTCTAAGGTAATGTTCACAAACTCTATGCATACTTCAAAAGATCACTTGAAAGACATAAATGGTCATTAATATTAATACTTTGTGCACCTCTTTCCCCCATTAAAAGCTTTAATCTACAACCACTTGAAGCTTGAATATCTTCAAGGGAAAAATACCATCTGAATGAATAAGATTCTATGGCTATTACTTCACATCAGAGCAGCCTGCCCTGACCTCAGTATGGCTGTGAGGCAGCGTCGACCCCAACTGAAGACTGAGGCACATTTCTAGCTCTTGAGACAGGATGAAAAAGTCATTTCATTTCTAACACTTTATGAACATGATTTTCAATGAGATTCCTGAAGCTGACTGCTAAACTCTTACACTTTGGCAATGAGAGCAATAAAGGCTGGTTCCAGGGCAGTTTGGGGTAAATGCATTTTAATGTATTCGCTAAAATGCATTTAACTTGACCCTGAAATTCTGTGCTTCTTGTATCTACATATGATCCCTCAAGGTTAGGAAATTGTTATGCAGATTTATGTAAAGTAATATACAAATTAGAAGTGTCCCCCTGCCCCCGCATTTTTAAAAAAGAGAACTGCTATATTCCCACCACCCTCAAGTCTTTTCCAAGATATTTCCCCCTCTGCTTTACTCACTCTTCCCAGTGCTGTATTACCCAATTCTGTGGCAGGTCTCTGACAATTTCTCTGTCCCACTTGCCTTTTCTCAGTTGTTTCCTCTACTTCACTTTTTCTGACACATTTGACACAATTAAGCATCCTCTCCAAATTCAGAACAAAGTGTAGTGGTAAAGAGCATAGCCTCATCTTCCACACCAGCAAAATGAGATTATTAATACTGCCTTCTAAAGATCACTATGAGAACTAAAGAGGAACATTCATGTCAACTTCCTTGGCTGATGCCTGGCCCATAGTATTGGAAAAACCAACCAAGCAGTCCTTGTCAGGTGGCTCGGTTGGTTGGAGCATGGTCCCATACACCACAAGGTTGTGGGTTTAATCCCTGGTTGGGGTGTGCACAGGAGGCAACTTATCAATGTTTCTCTCTTTCTCTCCTTCTCCCTTACTCTCTAAAATTAAAAAAAGAAAAATCCTCCGGTGAGGATTTAAAAAAAAATAACAGCAGCTTTGGCTGGTGTGGCTCAGTGGCTTGATTGCTGGCTTGCGAACCAAAGGGTCGCTGGTTTGATATCCAGTCGGGGCACATGCCTAGGTTGCCAGCCAGGTAACCAGTAGGGGGCACGTGAGAGGCAACTATACATTGATGCTTCTCTCCCACTCTCCCTCCTTTCCCCTCACTCTAAAAATAAATAAATGAAATCTTTAAAAACAAACAAACAGTAAGTTTATCTTCATTGTTCTGCAATAGTCTAGATTTTCTCCTCCTTTAGACTTTAATTTTCTTTTTATCTTTACAACTTTTAACTTATTTCTTGACTCCTTAAGTATGGGTAACTCCCTCCCAAAATTTTATTTTTGATTCTTTCATCAAATGGATCAAGTCTTTTACTTCCAACCACTGTCCTTATGAAAGTAAATTCCAAATCTATGTCCTTTTCTCAAATAAATGTCCCAAGATTCATATAAGTGTTTCCAGCTCCTTCTGAACTTCATTTTCAGTTTTGCAGTCACTCAACACACTTAAAACTGAACAAAACACTGTTCCCCTCATGTCCAAATCCATGTATTCTCTCAACTTTTCTTATTCTAGTAAGCACACTCAATTTGTTGAGTTTTTCATGTTCCCCCTCAATATCTTTCTTAGTCTTAGGCGGTGATTCTCAAACTCTGATCTTAGACTCATTTACACTTAAAAAAATAGTAAAACTCCAGAAAGCTTTTGTTTTTGTGGTGTATATATACATATATATATGGAGATATGTATCTATACAATTATACATGTGATATATATGGGGATATGTATATATAATTATATATGGAGATATGTATATATAATTATATATACATATATAAATATATATTTGTGGGATTATATATTTGTGGGATATGTATGCATATATGTATCATTATTAATCATGTTATTAAAACAGAATTTTGAATATATGTATTAATCCATTTAAAAGTAGCAATACTAAACTTATAACAAGTTAACATAACAGTGTTACATGGCTAAATGGGATTTGTCCTCCTGCCACATACAACCATAAAAAAGAGATTGGTGGGGAAGGAGGAAGGTTTTTACTAACAGAGTGTCCAGTTTGGGAGAATGGAATCTCCTCTGCTCCAAGGCATTCTCTTTTGCAAAACACAAGAAATCCCCTTGTTCTCCAAAAGACTGAAAACCAAATCTATGCTCAGAGTCCCCCCTCCATTCCTATCTGTAGTCCAGGCCTCCTACATAGATGGGTTTCTGTCTCTCCAGCCCCAGGCTCCCTCTGTCTCTGGAGTGCGCACTTGTGAGGCAAACATCTCCACTGCCTTGTTGCAGCTTTCTCTCTCCTGGGGCTGGGGCCAGGCCACTGCCGTCAGTCATGCTATGGGCTCAGTATACCTGGCCTCAGCATTCAGGGCTGCTTGTGCCCTCAAGAGGCAAGGAGTGTTCCCAGCCCATGAGTCTGTGGTCCACTATCAGGGTGAGAGAACAGGAGCAGTCCAGGACCCATGTCATGTGGCACAGGGCTGCAGCATCCCATGGGCCTGCTGCTGGCATCATGTGTGTCCCACATGAGCCTGTTCCAGATGTGCAAGCAGGGCAAGGCAAAAGCTGTAAGCAGGTACTGCCATCCCATGGGCCTGCTGCTGGCAGGGCACATGTCCCGTGCCCAGGAGTCAACCTCTGTGAGTTGGCTCCTGACTGCCAGAGACAGGAAGGAGAAAGGGCACTCAAGCAGGGCCTGGGGTCTGCTGAGTGCCAAGTGTGCTCTGCACCCCACCTCAACCAGGGGCAATGAGCGAGGAAGGCAAAAGGAGCTTCTGCATGCCCACCATTTTAAATCTCCCCGCCCCCAACCAAATCCTATGTGCTGTTGAAGGGTCCAACTCGTTATTCAATTTGGGCCAACACCCACCATGAGCATCAGCCTCATTGTGTCCCTGCCCCTCCTGCAGCTACCATGATCTGGAAGCAGGTGGGAGAGTATTCTGGCCATGCAGGGCACTGTGTTTCTCACCAGGGTGGGGCCTCACCTTGTTACATGTGTGTTGTGATCTTTTCAATCCCCACAGTATATGCAGGTTCTGTGCTAGTGGTGTCATAAGCTGTGTTAGTTGTTTACTGTTGCTTTAGGGGTATGGGATCACATCCCAGCTCTGGTTTTGATCTTTGGCTGCTTTCAGCACTTCCCAATCCCTCTTAGGGGTCCCTTCCTTCTCCAGGCACTGGCTGCTGCTTCAATCCTCCACCTTTGGGTTTCCTCCAACCCCCTCCTTCTCTAGGGGGCGGCTTTCACATTGGAGGAGTTTCTCCCCACCCTCTAGTGATCTGGCCAGACCTCTCTGTTACAATTTCCCCTTTAACACTCTGGACTTTGTAATCTTACAAAGACAAATGGGAGAATGTCTCATTATCTGTAGTTACTACCTGCTGGCCAAGGGCATAGTCCTACCTATCCACTGGTTGAGAGATGTCTAACAAGAAGGGAGTCTGGAAGGAGGGAAACCTTCATGTGAGGGAAAAGGATCTTGCAAAGTCCAGGTCAGTTGGTTATACCTGGGAAGTGGCATGTGCGATGTCCAAAGGATGGCACTGCTGGACAGGTTGGCATCCTGGTAGTATTCTGGAGGAGACAAACTAGGCAAGAGGGTTAGAAGACATAAACAGAACCAAAACAACTAAATGACAAAGGTAGAGACTAACTCTATAATGTCCCAGATTAAGAAACGTTGGCTTCCTTAGAGAAAGGTGTGTAAGGTGTGACATGCTTGTCTGAAGACCTTTTGACCACTATACCTAACTTATTCTGAGGGGAATATTCTAGGATTTCCCCCTTTAACACTTCTGGCCCTTTTCTGTCTGAACCATTAGGGAAGAAAAAGAAAGCAGTTTTAAGTGAAGCCAATAGACTACTCCATACTTCACCAACTCAACCACTTAGTCCAGACAAACTGTTGAGTCTTAGGA